GTGTGCCTTGTTTATAGCCTAAACTTGTTTTCCTTGCATTTACTAGATATCCATGCCTGGGATGATGGACACAGTTCTCAACCTAGGATTGAATGATGAAGTGGTTGTCGGGTTGGCAGCAAAAAGTGGAGAGCGGTTTGCTTATGATTCTTATAGACGTTTCTTAGACATGTTTGGAGACGTTGTGAGTGGTTCTTTTACACCCTCTGCATTACTTTGTGTTGGCTTACTTTTGTAGATTGTCAACCTTTCTTTGAAAACTAGAATCCCTCAGTCAATGTTGTATGTCAGTATCTTTCTCTAAAAATAGAAAACTAAATTAGTTGTTTTCCATTGCTTTTCTTTCTAACCGTTGATTTATGTTTCATTTAGGTAATGGATATTCCACACTCGTTATTTGAGGAGAAGTTAGAAAAGCTAAAAAGTGTAAGAGGTGTTAAACTCGACACTGAACTAGTGGCCCATGATCTCAAAGATCTTGTTGAGCAGTACAAGAATGTGTATCTTGAAGCCAGGGGAGAAAAGTTCCCCTCAGGTGCTGACACACAACTTCTTCACTTTTTGTTGTGATATATTCTCTTCGTCCTAGCCATTGACCAATGTCCGTTATCTTCACCAAATTGTTTATAAGAGAAAAAATATCCACTCATCTTTCTTATTCATTTACCAATGCAGATCCGAAGAAGCAGTTAGAATTAGCTGTTAAAGCTGTTTTTAATTCTTGGGATAGCCCAAGGGCAATTAAGTATCGGAACATTAATCAAATAACTGGTCTAAAGGGAACTGCTGTGAACATTCAGTCCATGGTGTTTGGTAACATGGGGAATACTTCAGGAACTGGCGTCCTTTTCACTAGAAATCCAAGCACTGGTGAAAACAAACTTTATGGCGAATTTCTAATTAATGCTCAGGTTATATGTGATTTACTTATCCTTTCTTTCTTGTCATTATCATATTCGTTAACGTGTGGATGGTAACAATTACTCTAGATGTTGATGTTTCAGCAAATAAATGCTGAATTGTTTTTGTTAGGGAGAGGATGTAGTTGCTGGAATCAGGACACCTGAAGATTTGGAGGTCATGAAATCTTGCATGCCAGAAGCTTATAAGGAACTTGAGGAGAATTGTGAATTTCTAGAGAAACATTACAAGGATATGATGGTAAAATTTAATCTTTGTATATATTAGTTCTACTTTTATAATTCATACTAATTCTATAAATAGACTGATAGACAAACCTTCTGAAATTGCAATTACATTGTAGGATATTGAGTTCACTGTCCAAGACAATAGGTTGTGGATGTTGCAATGTCGAAGCGGAAAACGTACTGGTAAAGGAGCAGTAAAAATAGCCGTCGATATGGTCAATGAGGGGCTTGTTGACATTCGTTCTGCAATCAAAATGGTAGAGCCACAGCATCTTGATCAACTTCTCCACCCACAGGTATATACATGTGGCTCTGATTTCCTTCTATACATAAAGGAAAATGTTGATGTTGACGTTGATTTTAAGCATATATAATCAAAACTTTTTTTAAACTTAATTAATACTTAATGTGTCGGAACTGCTCTAAATTTATTTGGTTAGTTTGAGGATCCATCTACTTACAAGGACCAAGTGATTGCCATTGGTTTGCCTGCATCCCCTGGAGCCGCAGTAGGGCAGGTGGTGTTCACTGCTGACGATGCTGAAGAATGGCATGCACAAGGAAAGAGTGTTATCTTGGTAATCCTTTTTTCACTTCATAATTTTTTTTGCTATTAATCTTTTTGTTACCTTTCTTGATATACTTGTCTAGTTGTAGCTAGAAAAATCCAGAGTTGACTTGGCCAAATATTTTTCACAGAAGATTGTACATTTTATGGTTGGGATGTAAATGCTGTCGTTGATTTAGTAACATTTATGGTTGTGTTAAACGAGGCATCCATTAACAATCATTAAATGCTATTGCAATCTTGAACCGTTGAAGGTGAGGAATGAGACAAGTCCAGAGGATGTTGGAGGCATGCACGCAGCTACTGGAATCTTGACGGCTAGAGGTGGTATGACATCTCATGCTGCTGTTGTAGCCCGTGGATGGGGAAAGTGTTGTGTGTCTGGTTGCTCTGATATCCTTGTAAATGATGCTGAAAAGGTAAACTTGGATTTTCCATTTATGTAATATATATACTAATAAAAGATCTCCATGTTGGATAATGAATAATCTTTCTTCATAATGTAGGTCTTCGTAGTTGGGGATAAGGTGATAGCAGAAGGAGAATGGCTTTCACTGAATGGATCAACAGGTGAGGTGATACTGGGAAAGCAATCACTTTCTCCTCCGGCTCTAAGCGATGATTTAGGAACTTTCATGTCTTGGGCAGATGAAATAAGGCATCTGAAGGTGCTGCATGTTCCTTATCTGCTGCAGAAGTTGAATTGAACAGAAAAATACTTGTTTCTATGAATTCTCTAATATGCTGTTGTCTATTATCAGGTTATGGCAAATGCTGACTCTCCTGAAGATGCAGTAACAGCTAGAAAAAATGGTGCTCAAGGGATTGGACTTTGCAGGACAGAGCATATGGTACATCAAACATTCAACTTCTTACTATATGTGAATCAAAAGTGTGAATACCCGGTATAATTATATCTAATATCCTCTTTATAAGCCAAAGATTGAATTAATGGGCTATTTTAGCCTTTTCCCTTTGAATCCAAAGTGGAAGGAACTTTTATATTCTTTTTTACTTATCAACATACGGTAGTTACAAATTATAGTATTACTTTTTACATGTTTTGGTGTGTTGTAGTTTTTTGCTTCGGACGAGAGGATAAAGGCTGTGAGAATGATGATTATGGCGGTTACACCAGAGCAGCGGAAAGCTGCACTGGACCTGTTGCTACCTTATCAAAGATCAGATTTCGAGGGGATATTTCGTGCAATGGATGGTCTACCAGTAACAATCCGATTGTTAGATCCTCCACTTCATGAATTTCTTCCAGAGGGCGACCTGGAACACATTGTCAGTGAACTAACTTCCGAGACAGGAATGAAAGAAGAGGAAATATTCTCCAGGATAGAAAAGCTATCAGAAGTGAACCCCATGCTCGGTTTTCGTGGCTGCAGGTTTGTCCTTCTCATCTCATAATGCTCGTGTTGTGTTACAGAAAACTGCAGTCTGTTCGTTTGTTATATGACTGATGATGAGTGTTGAGATCAGGGACTTCATGTTTGACTTGCAATTCCTCATGTTTGACAATTGAATTGAAATTCTGTGAACAGGCTGGGAATATCATACCCAGAACTGACTGAGATGCAGGCACGTGCAATCTTTCAGGCTGCTGTTTCAGTGAAAAACCATGGTATTGCAGTTCTTCCAGAGATAATGGTTCCACTTATCGGTACACCTCAGGCATGGTCCTTTTTCTTACATATTTATTCGCTTGTTGGTTCTCCTTTAGTTTACTTAACACGCATCTAATCATGCGTACTAATAATTTATGAGAAAAATCTCAGTTCATGTTATACTTCGAAACATTGTCTTGCATCCCTTTCTCCTTAACTATAATCATCTTTGAAATACGATGAATCAGTTGGTTTTGATCTTAATGAAACCCCTTTGGTGTAATGATTACACGATATGATTCCCCCAAATTTTTAATTGGCAGGAATTAAGGCATCAAGTGAGTTTAATAAGGAATGTTGCTGATAATGTTTTGTCTGAGATGGGTTCTTCTTTAAGCTATAAGGTTGGGACTATGATTGAAGTTCCAAGAGCTGCACTAGTTGCAGAAGAGGTAACATTTATATCCTGAAGTCTTCAAGATTCAACCTGGACTCAATAAAATATTGAATAAAGATTGAAGAAAACGGTCTTTATTTCGCATTTACTCGGGTTCACCTGTAGATTGTAATGACGAACCCTTTTATAGATTTATAATTGCAGTGCAGGAGTTAAAAGGAACATTTTTCCTTTTTTGTTATTTAAACTTTCTCATCTTATAATCGATTCATCTAGATTGCAAAGGAAGCAGAGTTCTTTTCATTCGGGACCAATGACCTTACTCAAATGACATTTGGATATAGTAGAGACGATGTTGGAAAATTTCTTCCCATCTACCTATCCAAAGGGATTCTGCAGCATGATCCATTCGAGGTTGGTTGCTTGATGTTAGTTTGGCCATTTACACATAATGAAGGACGGTTACTGAATTAAATTTGTTGAGAATAATTGCAGGTACTTGACCAGAAAGGTGTGGGTCAACTCATCAAGATTTGCACAGAAAAGGGTCGTGCCGCTAGACCAAATCTAAAGGTGAATAGAAATTTAAATTAATTTTTTTTATTAGACATCTAATTCTTACAATTTAATAACAAATGGAGATAAAACACTAAATTGATTATCAGGTTGGAATATGTGGAGAGCATGGTGGGGAGCCTTCTTCTGTTGCCTTCTTTGCAGAAATTGGACTTGACTATGTTTCATGTTCTCCGTTTAGGTCAGATTTTTACTTCAACAATATCAGAAAATGAAAATTTTGTATTTTCCAATGTCAAACTGACACTATCAGGACACCTTTGCAGGGTTCCAATTGCTAGGCTTGCGGCAGCTCAGGTTGCAGCTTAAGAAACAGTTGCCTGTATCACAAGCATACGAGAGGTTGTAAATAACTGTTGTTCTTCATAAGCCCGTAGACATCACAAATGGAGGTTTATACGAGGACGTTACAAATGATGAGGGCTTCTAACGTATACTTATAGAAGTGAAAGCAAAGCAAAATCAATAAGCAAATCTTTGCAAATAAATAATGTTGATAATAATAAAAGAGAAAACGTTGTGTACAAATATTCATGCAAATGTTTCTCTTATTCTTATACCGTCCTGTCATATAATAAGACTGAATCTGTAAAATTCTTGTACATGTTCTATTCGATTCCATCATAATAAAAATTCTCTGAAAAATTATTCTCCATTTGTCTACATTTAAGAAAAGATAAGAAACTTGGTAATAATCGGAGACTGGGTTGGGTTGAGTCTATTATGATTGGGCCGAAGTGGAGGCCCTGAAGAAGATGGGCCATGTTGTAATTTGAATTTGTAAAGCGAAAGGGAGGAACCCTGGGCAAGGGAAACGGCGTTCGGAGATGGAAGGAAAAGCTGAATCGAGAAAAATGGGGTGGGAGAGCTACGTGGTGGTGCACAACATAGCGAAGAGGCACAACGTGGGAACGCTGGCTCGCAGTGCCACCGCGTTTGGCGTCTCAGAACTCATCCTCGTTGGCCGTAGAGATTTCAACTGTTTCGGCAGCCATGGTTCCTCCTCCCACCTCCGATTTCGACACTTCCACTCACTCCACGACGCTCGCAACTTCCTCAAAGACAAAGGCTGCGATATTTGCGGCGTTGAGATCACAAACGACGCTCTCCCTGTCAACCACCACCCTTTCAAGAAGAGCACCGCATTCCTACTCGGCAACGAGGTTGTTACCTCTCTTTCGCTTTTCCATCAATTTCAATTTCTACCTTTACTCTTCAATTTTTCTTTTAATCTATCTGCAGGGCCAAGGTCTTTCTCCTAAGGAAATTCAGATATGCGACTTTTTCGTCTATATTCCTCAGTATGGTGCCGGCACTGCTTCCTTGAATGTCACTGTAGCTGCTTCCATTGTACTCCATCATTTCGCAGGTTTCTTTTATTATCTTATTTTACTTAAAATTTCTCCCTCTTTTGCTGCTTATGCCAACCTTATTTCCAGTGCGTCTACTTCTTGGAAGTTCGAAATTATGATTAAATTGTTTATTTTATTTTATTTCTGTTGTTCTTTCCATTGTAAACGTTAGCCTCTCTACACGACAAAACTGTAAGATTTAGTGTCTGCGCTTACATGTTTGTCTATGGTTTAGTCAATCTCGCTAATACCAAAACTTTCCAGTAATATAAACTTGCTACGAAAACTTGTGGGTAAACCTTACAATTTTTGAGGAACTAAAATTGAAGTTGAAAACATCTATAGAAACCTAGTGACTATTTTAACTGTTCTTATGCACATCTTATAGTTCTCACGAAATTACTGTTTCAGTGGTACAATGGATTGCAGAAGTCAAAGGGTGAACAAAAAAATTACGAGTCCTACAACCGTTTTATCTATTTTCAAAATTGTCAATAAATGATTGATTATCTTTTTACTCGGCAACAAAATTTGTCTACAAAATACATTTATATACTCGATTGTATATATGTATTTTTCTAATAATAAATTATTACTAACTTTTATTCTTATTTTCTTTCGAGTTTATATTTATCTTTAGCCAGACACCTATGTTCATTATTTTTTTCTGTTTCTTCACCTACCCAATCGCTCCCTCTGTTTCTTCACCCTTTTCAAATAGACCAGGCAATTTTGTACTAAACTATGGAGATCGCATTTTGTTACAAATTTAACCTTCGTTAAGATATTAGTTCCAACTGCTTTTGATATATTCCATATGGAACTGGATGTAGTTTCTGAAGCATTTGTTTTTTACAGTCTGGGCTGGTTTTGAAGAGAGATCTCGTGATGGAAATAAATTTGTTGTGGCTGAGAGACCCGTAAAACAGGGACGACGTAATTACTGCACTGAAACAGATGATTCTATCATTCAAGAGCGTAAAGCTAGAAGAGAAAGTGCTGCCAATGGTTTCTTTGATGAGGCTGAGAGTGGCAATTCATCTTCGAACCTCCTTGATGCATTATTTGTTGATGGCTGATGGAAAATGTGATTCCTTGACTGTCATGATTAATTGATCTTTGGGATCGAAGGTCGAGGGCTTTAAGGCATCAGTTGCAACAGAGGAGAACCAACATCTTGGAGAAAGCGGACTATTACATAGCTTGTGTTATATATGTAGCATTTCAAACGAAATCATTTTCTGGGGGAAGGCAGCTACTGAGATTAGGTGTGTATATAGTAATTTATGATGAGTTTGCTGCAACTGCCGCCAGTTACAGGACATGAAGTTAAAGCCAGCCTATATTGTTTTTGTAACATGATACTGACATTTGCTTTCAGGATGAGACACATCGTTGACCCCTTTTACCGTTTTTTGTATTTGTCCCTTTTCAACTGTTACTTATTATATTTGAGATAGTAAAGAAGAGAACACCTGCATCCAAGTTCAAGGTTCAAATCGTGGGTGACTCTCTGGTGGGGTCCTGCAGTAGTTGGTTTGGTCAATAAATAAGATTGACTACTGAATATGTTTCTTGTAAACATGCTGTGAAACAAAGAACGTCGCGATGTATTCAGTCCCCTTTGTGAAAACTTAGCATTTGTGAGAGGCAAGGGAAAGGGAGAGGTAACATAAAATTTATGGAATGTGCATTATCCTAAGACCTCTTCCAAATAATTTGTCAAACTCAACAGTTATATAATGAATGGTATTCATCGTTTGTCTAGGTTCTCTCGTACTTTATGAGTATTTCTAATCCCGTTGTCTATAAAGTAAAGANTCAATAACAAAATAAATAAGTGATTAGTCAAGCTATATACTTATATGCACGGAGAGAATTAAACAGTGATATCATACTAAAATATGAATTGTCCTCCTCCCCCATTACTACGTGAATATGTCATATTATCACACAATTTTTAAAAGTAAACTTGTCAATTTATGATAACAAGTATGAAAATTGTAGAGTGATGTGCAGCTAACGTTTTTTAGTTTGTTTTAAACAGAGGGTGTTCACTTTTGGCAAAGGGACAAGTGAAGGAAACAAGGCCATGAAGTCCTTGGTAAGTACACATGATCTGTCACATTGTGAAAAGAATAAATGCTTAAATTCATTTTTGTTCCTCCTTATTCGCTTGTCACTCAGACCTTTTACTTATTTATTCATGCAAGATATTACTATATTAATAATTAAATTTTAAAAGAAGCTTGAACATTTATTATCATTACAAAAGAATAATATGTAAAATTTACAAAGATTGAAATTGAAGAATGACCAAAATTATAAGGATTAAAAGTGGATTTAAGCCTTAAAAAAAAGAAGAAAAACATGGAAATTGATATTGGATTGTTGTTCTTATAATCTTAAATTAATTGTGATTTTATCGGTGTTCCATCATGATAAAACCTCTACACATGTTAAGCAAAATAAGGTTGTCGATTGGCATTTTTCCTTTAAATTGATTAACAGATGCATTTTTGTTAATTACAGTTGGGAGGAAAGGGAGCCAACCTGGCAGAAATGGCAAGCATTGGTTTATCTGTGCCTCCTGGATTCACTATATCAACAGAAGCTTGCCAAGAATATCAACAGATTGGAAAGAAGCTACCAGATGGCTTGTGGGAGGAGGTGCTTCAAGGCTTGCTTTTCGTGGAGAATGAAATGGGAGCCAATCTTGGAAATCCTGCAAAACCTCTTCTACTCTCAGTTCGCTCTGGTGCTGCGGTAGGAGCACTGGGTTTTGGTTTTTTCTGTGTTCTTGTTAAGTGCCTCAACCTAGGATCACTTTTCGAATTTGGAGTCGCCTTTATATGTAAAAGGCCTAAAGAAATAATTAAAACCACTAATAAGCAGAAGCTATATTTTGACATTGACATTGGTTCCCAAATGATGGAACACCATCCAAGAAAATGAACTTGATTGTCACTAGCATTGATTAAACTAGAGCTGTAAAGTTTTTGAATAAAGTAAATAGCAATCTTTTCTTTTAATCTTCGATCATAGTGTGTAAATTTATGTTGTAGATAGGAAATTCACTCTCTATAATTCTTGAAACATCCACTTCTATTTATAAGTGTATTCGAATTTTATTTAAATTTGATTCTTTTATGGAGTGTGTGCCTTGTTTATAGCCTAAACTTGTTTTCCTTGCATTTACTAGATATCCATGCCTGGGATGATGGACACAGTTCTCAACCTAGGATTGAATGATGAAGTGGTTGTCGGGTTGGCAGCAAAAAGTGGAGAGCGGTTTGCTTATGATTCTTATAGACGTTTCTTAGACATGTTTGGAGACGTTGTGAGTGGTTCTTTTACACCCTCTGCATTACTTTGTGTTGGCTTACTTTTGTAGATTGTCAACCTTTCTTTGAAAACTAGAATCCCTCAGTCAATGTTGTATGTCAGTATCTTTCTCTAAAAATAGAAAACTAAATTAGTTGTTTTCCATTGCTTTTCTTTCTAACCGTTGATTTATGTTTCATTTAGGTAATGGATATTCCACACTCGTTATTTGAGGAGAAGTTAGAAAAGCTAAAAAGTGTAAGAGGTGTTAAACTCGACACTGAACTAGTGGCCCATGATCTCAAAGATCTTGTTGAGCAGTACAAGAATGTGTATCTTGAAGCCAGGGGAGAAAAGTTCCCCTCAGGTGCTGACACACAACTTCTTCACTTTTTGTTGTGATATATTCTCTTCGTCCTAGCCATTGACCAATGTCCGTTATCTTCACCAAATTGTTTATAAGAGAAAAAATATCCACTCATCTTTCTTATTCATTTACCAATGCAGATCCGAAGAAGCAGTTAGAATTAGCTGTTAAAGCTGTTTTTAATTCTTGGGATAGCCCAAGGGCAATTAAGTATCGGAACATTAATCAAATAACTGGTCTAAAGGGAACTGCTGTGAACATTCAGTCCATGGTGTTTGGTAACATGGGGAATACTTCAGGAACTGGCGTCCTTTTCACTAGAAATCCAAGCACTGGTGAAAACAAACTTTATGGCGAATTTCTAATTAATGCTCAGGTTATATGTGATTTACTTATCCTTTCTTTCTTGTCATTATCATATTCGTTAACGTGTGGATGGTAACAATTACTCTAGATGTTGATGTTTCAGCAAATAAATGCTGAATTGTTTTTGTTAGGGAGAGGATGTAGTTGCTGGAATCAGGACACCTGAAGATTTGGAGGTCATGAAATCTTGCATGCCAGAAGCTTATAAGGAACTTGAGGAGAATTGTGAATTTCTAGAGAAACATTACAAGGATATGATGGTAAAATTTAATCTTTGTATATATTAGTTCTACTTTTATAATTCATACTAATTCTATAAATAGACTGATAGACAAACCTTCTGAAATTGCAATTACATTGTAGGATATTGAGTTCACTGTCCAAGACAATAGGTTGTGGATGTTGCAATGTCGAAGCGGAAAACGTACTGGTAAAGGAGCAGTAAAAATAGCCGTCGATATGGTCAATGAGGGGCTTGTTGACATTCGTTCTGCAATCAAAATGGTAGAGCCACAGCATCTTGATCAACTTCTCCACCCACAGGTATATACATGTGGCTCTGATTTCCTTCTATACATAAAGGAAAATGTTGATGTTGACGTTGATTTTAAGCATATATAATCAAAACTTTTTTTAAACTTAATTAATACTTAATGTGTCGGAACTGCTCTAAATTTATTTGGTTAGTTTGAGGATCCATCTACTTACAAGGACCAAGTGATTGCCATTGGTTTGCCTGCATCCCCTGGAGCCGCAGTAGGGCAGGTGGTGTTCACTGCTGACGATGCTGAAGAATGGCATGCACAAGGAAAGAGTGTTATCTTGGTAATCCTTTTTTCACTTCATAATTTCTTTTGCTATTAATCTTTTTGTTACCATTCTTGATATACTTGTCTAGTTGTAGCTAGAAAAATCCAGAGTTGACTTGGCCAAATATTTTTCACAGAAGATTGTACATTTTATGGTTGGGATGTAAATGCTGTCGTTGATTTAGTAACATTTATGGTTGTGTTAAACGAGGCATCCATTAACAATCATTAAATGCTATTGCAATCTTGAACCGTTGAAGGTGAGGAATGAGACAAGTCCAGAGGATGTTGGAGGCATGCACGCAGCTACTGGAATCTTGACGGCTAGAGGTGGTATGACATCTCATGCTGCTGTTGTAGCCCGTGGATGGGGAAAGTGTTGTGTGTCTGGTTGCTCTGATATCCTTGTAAATGATGCTGAAAAGGTAAACTTGGATTTTCCATTTATGTAATATATATACTAATAAAAGATCTCCATGTTGGATAATGAATAATCTTTCTTCATAATGTAGGTCTTCGTAGTTGGGGATAAGGTGATAGCAGAAGGAGAATGGCTTTCACTGAATGGATCAACAGGTGAGGTGATACTGGGAAAGCAATCACTTTCTCCTCCGGCTCTAAGCGATGATTTAGGAACTTTCATGTCTTGGGCAGATGAAATAAGGCATCTGAAGGTGCTGCATGTTCCTTATCTGCTGCAGAAGTTGAATTGAACAGAAAAACACTTGTTTCTATGAATTCTCTAATATGCTGTTGTCTATTATCAGGTTATGGCAAATGCTGACTCTCCTGAAGATGCAGTAACAGCTAGAAAAAATGGTGCTCAAGGGATTGGACTTTGCAGGACAGAGCATATGGTACAACAAACATTCAACTTCTTACTATATGTGAATCAAAAGTGTGAATACCCGGGATAATTATATCTAATATCCTCTTTATAAGCCAAAGATTGAATTAATGGGCTATTTTAGCCTTTTCCCTTTGAATCCAAAGTGGAAGGAACTTTTATATTCTTTTTTACTTATCAACATACGGTAGTTACAAATTATAGTATTACTTTTTACATGTTTTGGTGTGTTGTAGTTTTTTGCTTCGGACGAGAGGATAAAGGCTGTGAGAATGATGATTATGGCGGTTACACCAGAGCAGCGGAAAGCTGCACTGGACCTGTTGCTACCTTATCAAAGATCAGATTTCGAGGGGATATTTCGTGCAATGGATGGTCTACCAGTAACAATCCGATTGTTAGATCCTCCACTTCATGAATTTCTTCCAGAGGGCGACCTGGAACACATTGTCAGTGAACTGACTTCCGAGACAGGAATGAAAGAAGAGGAAATATTCTCCAGGATAGAAAAGCTATCAGAAGTGAACCCCATGCTCGGTTTTCGTGGCTGCAGGTTTGTCCTTCTCATCTCATAATGCTCGTGTTGTGTTACAGAAAACTGCAGTCTGTTCGTTTGTTATATGACTGATGATGAGTGTTGAGATCAGGGACTTCATGTTTGACTTGCAATTCCTCATGTTTGACAATTGAATTTAAATTCTGTGAACAGGCTGGGAATATCATACCCAGAACTGACTGAGATGCAGGCACGTGCAATCTTTCAGGCTGCTGTTTCAGTGAAAAACCATGGTATTGCAGTTCTTCCAGAGATAATGGTTCCACTTATCGGTACACCTCAGGCATGGTCCTTTTTCTTACATATTTATTCGCTTGTTGGTTCTCCTTTAGTTTACTTAACACGCATCTAATCATGCGTACTAATAATTTATGAGAAAAATCTCAGTTCATGTTATACTTCTAAACATTGTCTTGCATCCCTTTCTCCTTAACTATAATCATCTTTGAAATACGATGAATCAGTTGGTTTTGATCTTAATGAAACCCCTTTGGT